GTTGATGAAGCTGCTACAATGTTAGCTTAGCTTAGCATCAATCACACCAAACTCCAAGTTATTTCAGCATCTTTTGTATCTGTTTGTGATTAAATCAAAGCTAAACTGTTTATTTACGGTTCATTCAGCTGTAGTAAAGCAGCCGACGTGTGTCTTGTTAGACATGTATTACAGTCATGACGTGTGTCTTGTTAGACATGTATTACTGTCATGACGTGTGTCTTGTTAGACATGTATTACAGTCATGACGTGTGTCTTGTTAGACATGTATTACTGTCATGACGTGTCTTTACCCTCCTCGTGGCCCAGCTGCTTGTTCTTGGCCCTCTTGCGGGCCTCGTTCTTGTCCGTGTCCGAGTTGACGGCCTCGTAGACCGTCTCCGCCACCTCCTGCTGCCAGCGCTCCGAGATCACCAGAGGGAAGTTCTTGTAGAGCTCCTGGTCGCTGTCCAGCAGCTGCAGGACAGAGGACAGAGGACACTCAGCTAGTTAAACACACCGTATATATTATATATTTATTCATCAAGAGTTTGGTCAGTTTTAGTCGTGTTGTTTTTGTTTCTTTTAGAGCTCAGTTCAGTTTAAGTGGCAGCAGATTAGTGTTTTAATTGAAGTTATTATAATGAAATAAATGTTGTGATGTCTTTAGAATAATAACACCATCAGTGTTCAGATCCTTAGAAGACTCACTTTCACAATAAAGTTTGTCAGCGAATACGATCTCAGGGGAAAAAGAAGTGCGTCAATGAAAACAGGAAGTAGACTGATCAAGTATTGTGAGCAACTTATGTCTAGGGGCTTTTATTGTGAAAGGTAAGAACAGAAGAAGAACATAAAGTGGTGTCTTCACACTACGCAGCTTCAATGTTGTTTCACCTCTTTCCTAAATAAAATGGTCATATTTTGCACTACAACATTCCTGTTCTGTGTAAAAACAGTTAAAAAAAATATATTGACGTGAAAATGAATATCAGGAAAAAAAAGCCCAATATGTTTAAAGACCTAAAGACAGAATCTACAGCTGGACAACTTATAATTTATGATGTTCATCAGGATAAAACCAACACGGTCTTACAATAAAGGAATGATAATTATTGTGGGACCATTGTGGAGGCTGTGGTTTGTATCTCACTGTAATAAAAGGCATCACTGCAGTAATCTCCTCTGACATTATTGATAAAGCGTGTTTCTGTTTTGGGCAGAAACACGCTGGATGAGTGTCGGGGGGGCTGCAGCTCTCTCATCGTTATTACTCCTCCGTCTGGGGAAACGTCAACAAACCTGTTTTCGTCTCTTTTATTTCTCCGATAGCGCGTCAGAGGATGGACAGCCGTCGGTGCAGCAACATTAACGTTAACGATGGGAGGAATAAGAAATAATAACGGGTTGCTTTAAATTGCTTCGATCCATAAACAGCCCCGCTCATTATTCTGGAGCCCAACATGTCGGGAAATAATGAAGAACTAGAATCTAAGAACTAAAGTACCGCCGCTCTGAAAGAATGCAGCATTCATGTGTTCATTCATGTGTTCAGACACTAGTGCGTTTAGTTTCATGCATGCGTTTATGTTTTTATCATTTCTGTCCTCATTTTATATTTATATGCATATTCATGTTATGTTCTCTTTAATATTATAAAGGAGGAGGCTTTAAATAAGCACAGCTGGCTTGCTGCCTCTTCCTGCACTGAGATGTTTATTCATCTCTGTTATGTTTGTTTATTTTTATTTTATTGTTTAAATTGTGCAAAAATAAAAATGAAATAACAAATGTTTGAAAGTATTTCCATCCTTCAGCTCACAAAGAATATTTCACCTATGTATTTCACTCTACTTCCCGTTTGTCCTCCTTTTGTTGTCCGAGCTACGTTTCCTCTCGGGGGCAATAAAGAACATTTCCTCTTATCCTTCTTGATTGACAGTTTTTATGTTAAATGAAGCGTCTGCGTGCAGTGAAGGATGCTAGAGGAGGAGTGAAGGATGCTAGAGGAGGAGTGAAGGATGCTAGAGGAGGAACGAGGAATCACAGCGTTACCTTGATGCCCTTCGTGTCCTCCTCGTCAAAGGAGCCGATGTCGAAGGCGTCGGCGGCGTTCACTTCTCCCCGGGGAGGAATCAGAGGAGGGGAGTACTGCAGAGGGGGAGGGAGAGAACACAGAGAGGAGGAGAAAGAAAGATGGAGTGACAAAAGGAGGAGAGCAAAACAACAAGGCCACAGTCCCACAGCAGTGATGGGGTAACCATAGCAACTGTAACTGTACCGGACGAATGGCTCGTGAGGAGGGAGACCAGCTGCTGATGGAGACCACGAGATTATTATCATTACCAACAAATAATCAACACCTTTTCTACAAGAGGACCAGAGGACCCTAGAGATCAGCTGGTCTCATGTTGTCTGATTACGATTGAAAGTAGCTAGCGCCAAGTCATGCGTTCATTTGCATATCAGTGATGTCATCACGCATAATTAAAGCTTAAAGAGGTCGTGTCAGCTGACTGAGAGAGGAAAAAGTCGTGGATTGAGTTTTTTTCTGGAACGGGTTACAAAACATATTAAATATATTTATGATGGAAAAAATAAATTGCTAAATTTGTCGTTCGTTGCTTTTTTAGAAATAACGCCGGGAAGATGGTTTTAAAAGTCGCCGAGTTAGCAAAACTGTGTTCTGAGTCGCACCCAAATACATAAATATAACATACATATATAATAATATGAATAACTATAACCAAACAAATTAACATTCCATTACATGTCACATGTTTCACATTAATCGTATTTTGTTGCGTTCACTTACAGATTATTTGTTTGTTTGTTTTGAGTGTTGAGACTTTTTTTCCCTCTAAACAAAACTGGGACGTCTGGCTATTTGGCACATTCATGTAGAATTTTAAAGTGGGAACACTTTTATTTCCTCCAAAAGATAAAACGATAAAAGACAATATTGAGTTAATTAATTATCTTTTGATGGATTATTTGAGTGTTATGTGGCTTTAAATCTGAAAATCGTCACATACATTTGTAAATCCTTGTAAAAGACACATTTTGTTACCAGAATTTATACTTAAATTACGTTTTGTTTTTCTACAAATCATGTAAACTAAATGACAACTAAGAAGTAATTTATTACAACAAAACATGTATTATTATTTTCTTTTTATCACTAATTGATTTAAAAGGGTTTTTGAGAAGCTTTGGAACCTTTTATTGATATAAATGTGGAGGAAAACTCTTCAATGTTTAAATTTAAAGAGGCAGACAAACTCATTGATCTCTTTATGAACACATCTAATGTGTTGAGGCTGAAGTAACATGTCTATTCGTTTCAAACGCAGAAGTTTATATATATATATATATATATTTTTAAAGGCAGCTTCATCGCTCACAAATGTTTCCGACCAAAACAATTAAAGAAGTTATTTTCGATGCCAACTCACCTTCTGCAGGTAAACCTGCTGCCAGTCGATGCCTTTGAAGAACTGATGCTCCTTCACCTCCAGGGCTCTGAGGCAGAAACATGGTGTTAGTTTTATGTTTCGCCACTAGGTGGCGGTGTTTGCCACATTTCTCTCCCTCTCACAAACACTTGTGTTCATGCAGACCATTCTTTTCGGGGTTGTGAGCTGATGTGAAACGACATCGTGGATCAAATTAGTTTCTTAACTCGGCGTGTAGCGGATCATCGGCGTCCGTCTCCTCCGAGTCGTGAACCGCAGCCTCAATGAGCACATCTAGACTCCGTCTGACTGATGACTTCACGTGTGTGTGTGTGTGTGTGTCGTACCCTCGGCCCTGACAGCCCAGCCTCTTGGATACGTCTCTCTGCAGCAGCCCCTCCAGCAAGTCTTTGAGCTCTGCAGTGAACGAGTCTGGCAGCTCCACATTCTGTGGGAGGGAAAAGGGGGGAGGAAGGGAGGAAACAAGGAGGAGAGAGTGAGACCGGGGGGGTTAGCACCTTTTATTACAGGACACAGGTTTGATGCTTTGGGCCTAATCCTCAGACAAAACTACCTCTTCCACATTTATACTGTTCTGTCTGTGCGTCCTCATGTTTTAAAACAAGGTAAATAACTGTAATCAATAATGTGTGTGGGGGGGGGGGGGGGGGGG